AGTTAAGCAGAGCCAAGAGTGTGAAAGAGAACGGCCTGATGACACCTTCTGGACTGCTGGTATAGCTATGCCTGAAGCCTCGCAGCACGAGGATCCAAGTCATTCAATAAACAATTTACACTGGATTTCTGATGTTTGCAACCAAGATAATGAACTAATAAAATTAATTCAAAGGAAATTCACTTTCATGGGTTGTCCTTGTGGAATTCTAGGCTCCCCTCTGACAATATTCCTAATGAATAAAATGATTAAAATTTGTTCTTCCTGGGGTCTGTACTGCAGCCTAGCTGGTAGAGCCAACACCTTTGATGCTGTTGTCCCCTCTGGGGGCAACAGGTTAGTGTCTCAGCTGCTCTACTTCTGATCCAGCTCCCTGCTAATGGCCTGTGAAAAGGAAGGGAGATGAAACTGCACCCACATGGGAGACCCAGAAAGTTACAGGGTACCGTTTCAAATAACAGGTAAATCTTAAAGCATTTTCTTTTCTTCCTATGACATGCCTGCAAAAAGTCTGGCCTTGATATTATACTCTTTCTACCCTCTACAACAACAGTTCAGCCAGTCATGCTGCCATAAATCAGATGCGACTTCCTGTAATAAATATTATAGTTGTTGTGTACCAGAAGGGAGAAGATAGTGTGCTATTATAAAAGAAATACCAGGTGGCAAGTCCCATGAGCCTGTCAAACTGCCCCAAGAGATACTGAACACTTCACAGTCAGAAACAATTTTGACCCTCGGACTTGGCACAAAAGGAGGGCTACAGGTGGAGCCTAGGAAGAGGATTTCATAGGTCACCCTCAGCAGGGTCAGCATCTGTGTGTGCAAAACCATTCTAATGTCATGTTTCAGAATGACAGGGACCAAGACGAAATTCACAGGGTGCTGTCAGGAAGTTGCCTATTATTTTTTTTAGATGGTCAGTTGACTTCACTCATGTGCCAAGTATAGCCCATGGCCAGATGCCAAGGCTCAGCATGAAGACAGTGCTGACAATCTGCCAGGTCCATTGTGAAGTGGCAGGAAAGGGAGAATGTGAATTAGATATTTGTTATTCCAGTTGGGATTCCTTGACTTATCTTTGGATTAAGCAAGGTCAACAGGCAAATGCACACCTGGCCTGGAAGGGCTTGTCTTGGACTGCACTCCTGTGTGTTACCGCATTTGCTTACATCAAGGGAAGTCTGTATTATTCCCCTTTACACAGGGCTGGTCTTGCTCTGCCGTCTGGCCCCTCCTCTAGGAGCACCTGGAGACATTCCTTTCCATCTTCCGAGGACGCAGGTGCTTTCAGCTCCAGCCGCTGTGGGCTGAGAACTCACTGTGTTCTCAGAGGCCAGAGTGTGGGACAGGCTAGCAAATGGACAGGATCTCACCCGAGCACAAGGCCTACTCTTCTCTCTGACTTTTTCTTCATCCCTACCATCCATCTCCTTTATTATACTGATTTGCATTGTATTTTACAAGTATTTAAAAGCCAGTTCAAGAACTTCTAAATGAAGATGGGCACAAAGACTAATATCAACAACATGAAAACATAGGAAAATTGTAAGTGCACAAGTATCTTGGACCGTGACTAGCTCAGGATAAACTATCAAGTCAGCAAATATCGCAACCTATTCCTCCTCTTACTCTGCTGCTTACTATCCTCCCACCCCACACCACTGCCACAGGCAGCTGGCTGTCCTCTGGGCTACTCATGGACACCCACACCCATTCTTGGCAGTGCTACTGGTTGCCCTCCCTTCATCAATTCCTCCCACCAAACTGAACCACCTCAAACCTCTGCAGGTCCTTATACCCGACTCTAAATTTCGCTGGTTGATAACAACTTTTCTCTCCCAGTGACATGTACACTTTAAAGATTTATTTTTATTATTATTTTTTAATTGGAAAGGCGGATATACAGAGAGGAGAGACAGAGAGGAAGATCCTCCGTCTGATGATTCACTCCCCAAGTGAGTGCAACGGCTGATGCTATGTTGATCCGAAGCCAGGAGCCTCTTCAGGGTCTCCCACACGGGTACAGGGTCCCAAAGCCCTGGGCCGTCCTCGACTGCTTTCCCAGACCACAGGCAGGGAGCTGGAAGGGAAGCGGGGTTGCCGGGCATAGAACCAGCGCCCATATGGGATCCCGGGCGTGCAAGGCGAGGACCTTAACCACTGCGCCACCGCGCCAGGCCCGACATGTACATTTTAAGCAGGTATTTTGAAGAGGGTAAAAAGCCACTGCAATAATTCACTAGCAGTGGCGTATGCACAGGTACTTCAACAGATATGGTGAAGCAGTGAAGACATGCTACATCCCATAAAGGAGTAGCTAGGTTCCAGTGCGAGCTCCACTTCCGATTCAGCTTTCGGCCAATGCATAGCCTGGGAGGCATCAAGTGGGCTCAGGTACTTGGGTGTGGCAATGCACATAGGAGAGACCCAGACTAAGCTCCAGGGTCACAATTCTGGCTCAGTCTAGCTTAGCTATTATGGGCATCTGGGGAGTAAACCAGGCAGAAGAGCTCTGTCTTTTTTTGTCTCTGTTTCAAATAAACCTTTATTTTAAAGATGTTGTGGAACAATGGCATTAAAAGATAAATTGATTTTGGTACAAAAAGTCTTTAAAATCTATGCCTCACTGTGTGATATATAGTCTCCATAAACTTCCTGAAGACCCGTTGTATTATGAAAATGTAAGCGGTCTGCACAGTGCCTGGCATATGATCAGCATTCAATGAACAGCAGAGGCTCACTGCTGCTACTGTGCTTGTCACTACTAGTCCTACCTACCAACCCTCCACTCAACCCCCCTCACTGCCTGTTCCTCTGCTACCACCTCACTGTGCTTGTCACAAGGCTAATTATTCAGAGATCCACAGCTACTAAGGCATTTTAATTGCATTTTACAGATTATAAAGCACTTTTACATATATCCTTTTTGATCTTCCCATTAATCTACAAATCAAATGTTACCATTTTACAGATGGGCAAACTGAATCATTAAGGTTCCAGAGCTGGATTCAATCTCCTACCTTGTATAAATGTTGTGCTCTTTGCACATCAAGTGACTGTCAACTGCAGAGCAATCCAATCAGAATCATCTGAGTGTTTCAAGACCTAGGGGGAATTTCCTACATCTGGTGAATGTAGACAGCCCAAGAAAGGTGGCTCGTGGAATTCCCTGACCTGCTAGCAGATGAATGTGAGTGGGGTTCACACTGCTTCCTGGTGGCCTAAGTACCTGCTATACTGTGAGCCCTGCTTTGAGCACAAGTGTATATGCACAGCGTCTGGCTCTGACAGAGCTAATTAAGCCATGGTGCCAAGGTGAAAGCAGAGTGACCAGTGCAAGCCACGGCTGGCATGCGAAGGAAACAGAGTGGATGAGCACCCAGACAATAGGATTAGACAGGAGGGGAGAGAAGATTCCAGTAGGCCTCACAAACCAGGTCGATTTCCATGTGGGTATGGGATATGCAGAATGAGCTGTCCTCAGGAGAGACGCTGAGCAACTACTACTCTGGACAGACTAAAGCGAACAGGAGGAAAGGAGCAATAGGATGGAAGCAGACACAGAGCGTGGAGAGACCAGAGAGTGGATGCCTGCAGAGGAGGAGCCTCCTAAAGAGGAAGAGAAGCACAACTTACGCGAGAGACTCAAATAGCATTGGGAGATGGAAAACCTGCTGTTGATGGGGACACGTGGGAACCTGTTTGAGCTGTCAGAAGAAAGATGGGGCCTCTGAGCTGCGGGCAGCGAGAATGGGGCCAGACAGGCTACCAGAGAAAGGCGTCTTAATCAAAGTCCTCTCGCCCATGTTTTATTCATCCTACCACTAGTTTTCACTGGATCCATAAAGATGACACAAGACTGACAAGGAAAACCACCAATCCTTTTAATAACTGTATCCACATTGTGATATGATCCTGCAGATCCTCACATTAAGGGAGAACTGATGTTTATATCTCTTGAACCAGGGCACTTACACATATTATTGCAGCCACTGCTTTCCCCATTCGTAATGTAGTGAAAGCAACGTTGTGCCAGTTTTGAGCCTTGGCCTCAAGTTCTTTCTAGCTCCTGCCGCCACTCACAACCCCATAATAATCCTGTCCAATATCCTACCTAATCGCCAAGTGAACAAAATTTGGAATAACCTGCAAGAAGCTGAGGATTAGTCACTGTCATCATTCCAGCCAACTGCCAGGCCACTCCCAAAGCAAAGCCCGGCCAACCTGGACTGAACACACGGCTGGTGTCAACTGAAGCCTAAGACCCACACAGCTGAGCCCAGCCCAGATCTCCAACCTGCAGAACTGCAAGACAGAAAAAATGATTGCTATGTTGAGCCATTAAGTTTTGGAATAGTTTGCTACACAGCCAGAGCTAGCGAATATATCCTGCAGCTAACAGTATAGTCACCCAGCAGCGTGAGCCACATGCAGTACCAGGTTTTTAACTGAACAAGCCCTATCTCTGAAAGGAGTTTTCTACATCATGACCACAGAACTGCTGGCTCACAGCAATTACAGTTAAGTGAAATCAGAGGGAAAAAAAATTGAGCAATAAGAGAGGACAGCCCTAATATGTGATAGCTGTGAGCCAATTTTCACTATAGCGCAATTTTCATTACACAGCAAGGGGTCGTCTGAATTCCTTGGCTGAAGTAGCACACTGTTGTTGTGGATACTGCTCGAAACAAGCAGACCATCAACAGGGGTCTGGAAATACATCTACTTCACAAAAAGCTTTTATTTTAATAGTATTTGGCATGTAATCATGGATCTTTTTCCTGCCCGTGTTCTCAGCAAAAGAACACAGGTTGCTCTGATTTTATTCTTTCTTTTAATGGCCTGGAAACATCATAAATCATTTTGGAGAGAAAAAATGCAAATAAATAAACATCTAATCATGATACCAGCAGGGATGTCTCTAACTTAGAAGTGTGAATGTCATTTCAATAATAATGTCACACAGTCGCTTTGTTCCAAAATGAAAGAGAACTCACCAGTTAGCCTTCCTGTGGTCCACTGCTTTCAGGCTGTGAGTGATCAAATGAATCTGAAATAGAATTAAACATTCCATGAGCAAATCACATTTGGAAAAGGTGTGCTTTCCATCCCAGTGACTGCTAGGATGCTGAGTATTCCTACTTTCAGTAAAAGATTAGAAAAGCCTGTTGTGGCTCGTGAGGGAACAGAGACCCTTCTGGGCCTACACTGCTCCACTTCCTGAATGGAGAGTCCACTCTCATTTCCTTTACAGACAGCTAAAACACTATAACGGTCGTGTTTTCACCCTAACCCTCCAAGTCGGCAGAAGTCACCTCAGTCAAGGCTCTTGTTCTTCAATCATCAGCTGTAATGACCAAGCTGTAACCCCTGTGGAATGAAATAAGGTGCCACCATTGTAGCGTAGCTGTTGTAGCGTAGCATGTTGAGTCATGACTGAGTCCTATAATGGGCATCATTTCCAGATCCAGTTGCTCCACTTCCAATCCAGAACCTAGCTAATGCTCCTGGGAAGATATCTCAAGTGGGTCCCAGCACCGACAAGAAGACCTAGATGAAGCTCCTGCCTTCAGCTTGGATCATCCCTGGCCACTTGGGGAGTAAAGCAGCAGACAGAAGATCTCTCTCTCTCTCTCTGACTCTTTGAAATAAATATATCTTAAAAGTAAAATGAAACAAAAACTGGGGATCCCAGTGACCCCTCCAGTGAAAATGGTAGGGGTACATAGGCTTACCAACAGAGGCTGTCTGATCACAAAAATAACCACATCTTTTTTCCTTGCTGATGATGGTAGCAATTACAATGTAAAAACAGTAGATACTTCCTGTAGCACTTTCTGTGTGCCAAGAGCTGTTCTTGGCACATTCATGTGTGACCTCAATTAACACTGGCAATGACTATAGGAGGTAAGTGCACTGTCATATCCATTTCCTAACGAGGAAACTGAGGCACAGAGAGACAAAGTCACTGCTCCAACATTGTTAAGGCTGGGATGTTAAGCCCAGGAGTCAGTTCCCAGAGCCCATCCTCTTAGCCACTGTATTCTCAACTAAACCTGAAGAGCTGAAAACAACAATTATTTTCAATTTTACTCACAACCATCAAAACCCAAGTCTGTTCTCATAACAAGGTGGTCAGATAAAGCAGGGCTGGCAGACTGAAGAGGTATTGGATGCGCTAGCCAATTAGATTAACAATGTGGTTGGGAGTACATAAACCAAAGATAGGCCTGGAGTCAGGAAGATGGCCCCTGGAGTGGGGGCAAGATCAGCTGCATGAGCAAGGGGTAATGTAGGCCCATACTGGGGATGCTGAACCTGTTCAAAATCATGTAGTATTTGTACACAATCCAAACACCACCCTGTTCTGTGATTACTTCAGAGGAGAGGGTTAGCCACTTTGATCAGATTTTCGGCATCTGTCATGGCAGGGGTAGGGAGTAAGGCTGAATCCAAGAGAAAGGAATCAAAAGCACACCCTCATCCTTTTATTACTCTATGGGCCCTCAAGCCATCGTGCCAAGTGGAGCAAAACTAGATCGATGCTGTGACCTCCCTGCTCATTCTCCCGGAAGGAGGTTAGTCCTTTGTGCCATCTGGAATCCACAGGCCATGGGCTGAAGCTGCTCTGCGATGCTGCTTCCCATAGCTTCCTCTAACAGGCTCAGGATCCTACCCAAAGCTCCTCTACTTAGTCTAAAAAGCACCCGTGACCTCATGCCTGTCCCAGTTCCTGACTCTCCCCTTGACTTCCAGGAACTCACCCTTCAATAAATCCCACAGACTTATTGATGGGCTTCTAAAGACCCTCGCAGCCCCAGCACCTCTCACTCATGCCTTTGTGCTCTCACAGATCCTGTTCCTCCTGTGAAGCACATGCTTTCCCCATAGTATGAGCCAATCTTCATGTCTCAGTTCAAAACTCACCACTCTGAGAAGCTACTGTGAACCCCCTCAGCTGGAGCTCAGAGACAAGGTCTCTGCAATAACAGTGGCCTAGTGTTCATTTGCTTCAACCAAAGAGTATGGAATAGTCTCTGGGATCCAGGACACCCCTGGATACTAAGAGCTGCTGACCCTGAACTCCTATAAGGAGCTTTAGGAATCCCTTATTAGAAATGTTTACAAGAATTAGTGGTCCAGATTTGTGATTTTTTTGAAGGTTTTGAAATATCTGCATGTCATAATGAGGTAATCAGGATGGAGACCCATGTCTAAGCAGGGAATGTAGTTGTCACATACACCTTAGACACATAGACTAAAGGTAATAACGTAGTATTTTTAGCATGCCCATATTCTATGACTTCTCACATAAGTTAGCTATGGAATTTTCCATCTGTGGCATCATTTGTGGTCAGAAAGTTTTGGAGTTTATAGTATTTTAGATTTCATGATTTTCATATTAGAGTTGCTCACCCTGTACAAAACCACAATATTACTTATAGACATACCCCACATACTTTAAATCATCTCTACATTTCTTGTATCTTATGCAGTATAAAAGCTATGGAAATATTTGTAATATGGTACTATTTGGGGAATAATGAGGAAAGAAGGTAGGTATGTTCAGTACAGACACAATTTTTTCCCCCTAAAATACTTTGGATCCACAGCTGCCTGCATCGTATATGCAGTCTGTGGATACAGTGGGGCGACTATGTTACTATTGCTGCCAGTATTCATAGTAAAAGCCTGGCCTGGGGTAGGCAGTTAGCCTGCAGGGGAAGATAGCTGTTCCAGCTCTGGACTCTAGCTTCATGCAGACGCAGATCTGGGGAGGCTGCACTGGTGACTTGAGTAACAGGCTTTCTGCCACTCGTGTGGGAAACTTGAACTGGCATCCCAGATCCTGATTTCAGCCTGGCCCACCCCCATCTGCCAAAGGTCCTCAGGAAGAATCCACTGGAGGGGAGCACACATACACTGTGCCTCTCAGACAAAAAAAACTAAAAGAAAAAAAAGTTTGGACATTGTAGATCCACACGCTAGGCACTTTGCAAGTTCTGTGTATGCTTCTTTAATCCTTTCAGCAATCCTCTGAGATGGATTCTTTGTTACCCCATTTAGCAGGTGAGAAAACTGAGGCACAGAGGTTCAATTACTTTGGTTCTAGAGCCAGTTTGGTTCTGGCAGGGCCAGAGTGTGAATTTAATCAATTTGGTTCTAGAGCCTGAGTTTAGCAAGCTACACCAGACCTACTACTCCCATCACTCTTGTACTTCTTTACTGCAGGCAGCTTCTCAGCCTCAGTTTTTGTCTTACTGGTCTCTGCCCACATGTCTACAGAACTCCTGAGGGTGAAGAACATGTCTAGTTCATCTGTGTCACTGCAGAACCTAGAAAAGTGTCCTGTTTACAATTCACAAAGTAGATTCACAATTAAAGGCACACACAAGAAAACACTGCCACAGCATTTGGAAGATGGGATACAAGACTGTAAACCTGAGTCTAATAAAAACACACCAGGATAAAGAATCTCCAAATACATTTTTTGGGCTGATGCCATGGCATAGCCAGCTAAGCCTCCATCTGTGGTGTCGACATCCCATATTGGCACCCGTTCTAGTCCCGGCTGTTCCACTTCTGATCCAGCTCCCTGCTAATGGCCTGGGAAAGCAGCAGAGGACAGCCCAAGTCCTTGGGCCCATGTTTCTGATCCGGAAGATCTGTAGCTCCAGTGTCCCAGCTTTGGACCAGCCCAGTTCTGGCTGATGCAGCCTCCTGGGGAATGAACCCGTGATGGAGATCTCTGTTCCTCCTCTCTCTAACTCTTCCTTGCAAAACAAAAAAGCTTTAACTTCATCAAAACAATTTTTAAATTTTCAAACATGAGCAGGAGAGACTCAAGTAGTTGGGCCATCAGCTGCTGCCTCCCATGATACACATTAGCAGGCAGCTGGAACAGAAACAATGGGGTTGGGACTTGAGCAGTATGGGATGTGGCATTCTAAGAGGCATCTTAACTACTGTGCCTAACACCATCAAGTCTGTTCAGCACTAACGAGGCAATTCTTTTGCATCTCTGATCAGTACTAGAAAGAACAGAAGCAACTTGTCTGGCAGTTTCCAAGAAGGTCATCAGTGTTACTGTACTTCACACGTGGACCAAAGCCTAAATGGGAGAACACCAATAGTCAAGACAAAGGAATAGCAGAGGAGACCATGTGGGAAAGTCTCGCTGTCCAGACTTGACTTGGACATTTTCTACCGTGAGCTCTGTGACATGTTTCCACCTGAACTCCCCATGGACCATTATGCAATGTGACCTGGGGGCCAGCATGTAGCAACTTAAGCTGTTGCCTGCAGTGCCAGTCTTGGCTGCTCCACTTCAGATCAGGCTCCCTGCTGATACACCTGTAAAAGCAATGGAAGATGGCTCAAGTGTTTAGACTCCTGAATCCAAATGAGAGACCCATAAGAAGCTATGGGTTTTTAACCAGCCCAACCTTGGCCATTATGACTATTTGGGGAGTAAACCAGTGATGGATGACCTAACTCTGCCTTTCAAATAGATAAATTTAAAAAAAAAAAAGTGAAAGAGCGACCTTGTGAGAACTTTTTTGTTTTGCTTTGTTGTAAATATTGATTCGTCTATTTGAAAGGTAGAGTTACAGGTCAGGAGTAGGGAACAGAGTTATCTTCCACTCCCTCGGTTCACTCCTCAAATGGCCTGATAGCCAGGGCTAGGCCAGGCTGAAGTCAAGAGCTTCTTCCTGGTCTCCCACATGGGTGCAGGCACACAAGCACTTGAGCCATCTTCCACTGCTTTCTCTAGAACACCATCAGGGAGCTGGATCAGAAGTAGAGCACCCATGTCTCAATCCAGAATGCACAAGGGATAGCAGCACAGCAGGCAGTGGTTTAACATGAAAAACCATAATGCCAGTCCCTTCTGTTGTCTTTAATAGTGGAAAAAATGAAAATGTTGAGATCTGGGACACAGACCTCCAGGAAGCATAAAGCTCTTTCCAGCTCACGTCAGAGATTGCATCAAACTATGGTCCTGCCACTTGCACATGAATGCAATTAGCCATAACCTCCACCCTTCCT